ACTAATGTGAAAATTTAGGGAAAAAAAAGAAAGAGAAATATACACAACAATTCAGAAATTAGAAACTGTTTTCAGAATTGGCAAGGACTATTGGAAACTTCCTGATGTAATGCTTTTCCTTTTTTATTCACCCCAGTACATAGCATGATACTTAATAAATGCTTGTTAATTTTGATAACCAAAAATGATGATATAATTACCTTTCAGTTTATATAAAAGAAAGGAGTAGAGATCAGTTAATCAAGTAACACCTGTTAAAATTGGAGATACAGATATAACACCAGCATTTTCTGCCCTCCAGCAGCTTGTATTTTGTTAGGGGAAGCAATACTTACTTCTTGTTGTTGTTGTCGTTGTTCAGTCCTTTCAGTCATCTCTGACTCTTCGTGACCCCATTGGGAGTTTTCTTAGCAAAGATCCTGGAGTGGTTTGCCATTTTCTTCTCCAGCTTCTTTTACAGCTAAGGAAACTGAGGCAAACAGGGTCAAGTGATTTCCCCAGGGTCACACAGCTAGGAAATGTCTGAGGCCAGATTTGAACTCATCCTCTTGATTCCAGACCCTGTGCTTACCATTGTGCTATCTAGCTGTCTCTAATACTTACACATGTTAGTAAACACAAAAGCATATTAAAAACAAATGCAGGTACTTTGAGGAATGGCTGTAGTACCTGGGGTATCAGGAAAGGTCTTATGTAGTAAGTAGTGTTTGACCTAAGCCTTAAAGGGTGCCAGAGATTCTAAGAAGCAAAGAGAGAGTATGTTCCAGGCACAGTGGCAGTAGTACATAGAGTGTTGTGTTCAAAGGTTATTTCTCAGGCCTTATTCTTCTTTATTTCTCTGAAATATTTAACCCTGGTAACTTCCTTCTCTCCCTCTTTAATTTTTATGGCACTTCTAACCTGGTTGTCTTCCTCCATATTTGGCTACTCCTTCTGTCTCCTTTGTTGAATTACTGTCTGTGTCCCACTCCCTCCTTATGGGCTCTAGCCTGGGCTTGCTTTTCTTCTCTTTCTGCACTTGCTTTTTGTGATTTCATCAGTTCCTATGTGTTTAATAATCCACCTCTATATAGATGATCACCAAATCTTTTATCCTATCCTATTCTCTGCTGAACTCTAGTACCATATCACCACCCACCCACTGGACACTTCCAAATGAATCTTCTTAAGCACTTTGACTCAGCATGACCAAAACAGAAATCCTGTCTTTTCCTTTTGGATATTTCTACCTTTCTCATCACCTACATTCAGTCACAACCTTAGTGTTATCCTCAACTCTGAGACCTCCAGTCACTATTGCCAATCCTTGCTGATTCTGCCTCCACAGAATCTTTTACATTGCTTACTCACAGCTACTATCCCTAGTGCAAGCTCTCACTACCTCTCTCCTGTGCTTCTGAAATAACTTCCTAAGTAGTCTCTCTGCTTCCATTCTCTCCCTACTCTGATACATTCTACAAATTGGCCAGTGATGGTTTTAAAACTTGGGCCTTACCATGTTACCCCTTCAAGAAACTCCAGTGGTTTTTACTGTCTCTAGCATAAACTGTGAATTCCTGTCAGACTTTTAAAGTCTTTTACAAATCTAACCCTGGCCTGTGTTTTCATATTTATTTCACATTATTCTGACCAAACTGATCTGTTTCCTATGCCCCATACACAACATTCCTTCTCTAATCTCTGTACCTTTGTGTAGTCTGTCTGCCATTCCTGGAATGAATGAGGGATCCTCTTTACCTCTACTTCATATAATCCTTAGCTTCCTTGGAAACTCAGAGCAGGTGTCATCTGCAACAGAATCATTATCCTGATTTCCCTCTCTTCACTTCCCCCCCACCCCCATTCTCCCAATGCCAGTGCTCTACCACCAGAAATAGTTTTGTATTGAATTTTCTTTATAGATACTATTTCCTTATCTTCTTCCAACACAATGTAAACTCCCTAAGGGCAAATATTATTCTTTTCTTGGAATTAATCTGCAGTTCCTGGAACATAGGCATTGAATAAATGCTTGGTAAAATTAGCCAGTTTGCCTGTAATGTAAAACATGTGAGAGAAATATGACATGTAATAATTTGAAAATGTAAGTTGGGACCATATTCTGAAGAGCTTTAAGAGGCGAAGGAGTTTGTGTTTTATCATAGCAGCAATAGAGAACTACTTGGATTTTCTTAGGAATGACGTGGTCAGACTTAAGCTTTTAGAATGCTGTGTTGATATCTGTTGGAAGAACAAATTGAAGAGATTGGAGGCAGGGAGCCCGATCAGGAGTTTGTGGCACTAGTCCAGGCAGACATGACAAGGACCCAAACTAGCTAGAGTAGTGGCTTTGGGAATGGAGAGCCAGGGTATGTAGGAGAGATAGTTTGGTGTATATGAGAGATAACAAAAATATTTGCAAACAGTAAGTGATACTGAGTAAAAGTCCAGTCATCTGCAGAAAGAGAGTAATTGAGCCCATGGGAGTTGGTGAAGTCAGTGAGAGAATGTAGAGCTGAGATGTCAAACTCAGGTCAATTCCCAGTACTACCTGAACGAGATTAAAATGGAAGTGGGGAATGTTTAACAAAATAAATACTGTATGGATAATGTTAATTTGTGGTTTTCTAAGTCAATGTGCAGCCACTGGGATCCTTTTTCTATGGAGCTTGACACCTTGACACCATTGTCTTAAATCATACTGTATAGGCAATGGCCTACCAAAAAAAGCTGGCTGTCTCCCTTTCTGATTAGGATACTGGAAGCCTAGATAATAAGTGTTGGTGCCCCCAGAACCTGGTATTTCCCTAAACCCAATTCACCCCCTTTTGTAAATGTTGATTGTCTGAGACTCTAGAATCTTGGCCTTGGTTTAGGATAGAGCTGTCAAACATACTGCCCGTGGACCACATGCAACCCACAACATTTCTGAGTGCTGCCGAACCGGATTAAAATGTATTTGAAAGATATTAACAAAATTTTAAAAATTCAGTAAAACACAGATAATATTAATATATGGTTTTCTAAGTTAATATGTGGTCCATAGGGTTCCTCATGTACAGTTTAGTGGCCCTCGTTTCTGTTTGACACTCCCGGGTAGTGATTCTCAAAGGGTATGCTATCTCTGTACATGCCACACATTGTATGGACGTGAATATGCAATTGCATGCATGTGCCTGAGACCTCCACAGTGTGCTTATGAATGTTCATTGCAAAGAATAACACTGTGCTGTGAGTTTTAAAACAAAACAAAAAACTTTAGAAACTCTGTAGACAGAGAAGAGCCAAGTCCAAGAGCCTTGAGCTTAGAATCAACAAGTAAATTATGTATCAGTAGGGAGCATTTAGCAGCAATACAGTGTTTTGCAATATATTTACCTTCCTAATTACTTTGGACTAAAATTAGTTTCAGTCTCTGATCATCTACCACCAACTGTGGCTAGGAATGCTTGGTATTAAAGGTAGCCAGTAAATAGAAATGGTTTATGGTTGCACTCTATACTTGGCCAATATGTCATCTTAATTTTACACTAACTACCATTGCAAGGTAAATATTTTAAATGTTTAGAAGGACCTTTAGAGACCATCTAGTCTTATTTCACCCGTGGAAAATATTTCTTATAGTCCTGAAAGGTACCACTTCACAAGGCAACCCATTCCATTCTTGAACAATCAAATTTTTAAAGTTCTTTTTTATGTTAAGCTGAAGTCTACTTTTGTAATTTTGTTATGCTCTAAAGTAAATAACATCATTCATAATAAATTGATGGCTCTCGCTTTTCACATTAACAATTTGAATACTACCATATAACAGTGAAGAAAAAAGGTCCAAAGTTACAGGGATACTGATGTTGAGTAAATATTTTTGCTGTTTTTATTTTCCTAAGACATTCTCATCCACTCAAGTGATAATTGACAATTTGTAGCATCACCTTAAGAGATGTTTTAATAAGAAATCTTTCTAGATATGCCTTCCTTATATCATCTCAGCAGCATTTATTCAAAAAATAAGTTTGGGTCTAGTTTTGTTTTGTTATTTTTGTTTTGTTTTGTTTTTTAATCAAATTTTATCCTAGATGTTTAATAACAATTTCTTTTCTTCTTTTTAATTTAATTTTTATTTTTCCCCAGTTACATGTAAAAACAATTTTTAACATTTGTTTTTAAAACTTTGAGTTCCAAATTCTCTTCCTTCCTCCTCCCTCCCCCATCCTCAACCCCCACTGAGAAGGCAAGCATTTTGATAGAAGTTACACATGTGTAGTCATGCAAAACATATCCGTAATAGTCATGTTGTGAAAGAAAACATAAACCGGAAAAAAAAAAAAACCTCAAGAAAAATAAAGGTTGAAAAAGCATACTTCAATCTGCATTCAGACATCATCAGTTCTTTCTCTGAAGATGAATAGCATTTTTCATCATGAGTCCTTCAGAGTTGTCTTGGATCGTTGTATTGCTGAGAACAGCTAAGTCATTCACAGCTGATCATCTTACAATATTACTGTTACTTTGTACACAGCACATTTCACTTTGCATCAGCCCATGCAGTCTTTCTGAGAGCATCCTGCTCATGATTTCTTATAGTACAATAGTATTCCATTATAATCCATTGTAATCACAGCTTGTTCAGCCATTCCCCAGTTGATGGGCATCCCCTCAATTTCCAATTCTTTGCCCCCAAAAAAGAGGCACTATAAATATTGTTGTACATATAGGTCCTTTTCCTTTTTGTTTTTTATCTCTTTTGTGATACAGACCTAGTAGTGGTGTTGCTAGGTCAAAGGGTATGCATGATTTTATAGCCCTCTGGGCATACTTCCAAATCACTGTACAGAATGGTTGAATCATTTTACAATTCCACCAGTAGTACATTAATGTCTCATTTTTCCCACATCTGTCATTTACCTTTTCTGTCCTAATAGCCAGTCTAATAGGTATGAGTTAGTACCTTAGAATTGTTTTAATTTACATTTCTGCCGTCAATAACAATTCCTTTTCTTGTCACCTTAACTCTAATCTAGGTATATGGTGCAGTGGCCAGGAGTACGGATACTGCGTCGCCAGGAACTTGATGCCTTCCTGGCTCAGGCATTGTCTCCCAAACTTTATGAGCCTGATCAGCTACAGGAACTCAAGGTAATGAATCAATTTAATGTAATTGTCTTGGGAAGGCTTTCTTGTATTATAATTTGATCATCTGAGGACAACATTTCTGTAGCAAATCCGTAATTTTAATGATGTGGATTGGATGGCTTGCAAAATTAACATTCCTTCCTAGTAATGAATTCCTATCACTTGAATTAGAAATACATATTCTTTCTAGTTGGTTTTTCACTATAGGAGATGGACTTGAATTCTTTATTTTAGATCATTCCAAAGTCTACTTTAATTTTCTTTCCCCTCCATCTTGCCTGAATTTTCCTTTACATAGCTTGTCCCATCATTCCTATTTAAGTAAATGAATTAGTGAGCTTTGCTAAGCACTGAGTATGTGCTGAGCACTGTGTTAGATGTTAGGGATGTAAATGGGAAAGAATGGTGACAGTTGTTGCTCACTAAATGGGGGAGACGGCACATAGAAGGAAGTGCTGCTGTAGGGCAGGTGGAAAGACCTTAATTCCTGTGGTTTCTGTGGTGGGGCAAGGCCTAGGTTCTTCAGGTTATATAAGTGAGTCAGCTAACAATGCCAGGGGACTACAGATGGTAGAAGTAGGGCAGACGGCAGGCTTTGTAGTTATCCATCTTTTTCAGAGAAGTATAGTTGTTTACATAAATCTCATTCAAGCACCTTGGGAAAGGGGAAAAACAAAGGAAGAGGATGCCCCTTGATGGTGATAGCGGATCTTCCTATCACTTGTGTGTTATAGATGGGTTCTGGGATAGTCAGAGGCTAGGGGAAGGGAGGAATCAACATTGTGAACTTTTTTTTAACATTATATGCCTTTGAACTTTTCTTTCTAATTCCTTCTGTTTCTCCATTGGTTTGATTGCTTGTAATTTCCTTAATTTGCTGCTATTTAATATAGTAGCACCATGCTTTGTATATTTTTTTCAGTACATTATTTATCATAAGCTATACTTACCTTCATCACAGAGTAGTTGTCAAGAAAAAGTTCTTTGTAATCTTTGAAGTGCTATATTAAATTGAGTTACTGCTGACAAAATTTTGTTTTCTGAATCTTTGTTTTTATTGAAAGTTCTCAGTAAGTCTTCCTTTTCTTACATATATATATAGAAATTTTAAATGATGCCTTTTTAACATTACATTCACTTCCAGATAATCTCTTTCCCTTATAACAAAATTGTTTTTTCTTTTTAAGAGAATGAGTTAAAAATTTAGCATTAGGATATTTTTAACTTATTTAGCATTTCTACCATTTCTTAGTTTCTCAGTCATTTCCTCTATTTTGTATTCTCACAAGCAAAGTTTTAGTTACAAGCATTTACGTATTTTCTGTGTGCTGGGCACTGTGTTAGGCGCAGAATACACACCAGCACAAAGGGAAATTATTCTGTTGAAGGAAAACAACATGCTTTTCAGAATACTGAGCCACAGCTCAAGAATATACATTGGCATTTCTCCCCATTCTTTTCCAATAAAGTATTTTTTCCAAAGTAACCCTTCGGCTTTTTAATTTCTTTCATAGGTTCTTCTATCTCCCTTATTTGAGGTTCGGCTAAGTTTCTTAAGTTTTCCTTACTGTTTCTTTAAATGTACTTTGGTATTGAACCATCCTGCTCTCTGTTCAGCTCAGGTGACTTGTAGCTTTCTAATGTCTTCAAAATAGAAATCTAAACTCCAGGATAAAGTCAAATATAATGTAGTGGATGGTGAGCTGCATTTGGTGTCCTCCACACCTAAATTCAAGTCTCCCTTCTGGCACAGCCTGTCTAAGTGACCCTGGACAAGTCATTTTAAACTCTTAGTTCCTCAGGCAACTCTCTAAGGCCAGAAGTTGCTGAGCAAAGGCCAGTCTGCATTGATAGAGGAGGGATTTTTTCACCAGAAGTGGCTTATACTAGTGAATTCACAGGTTTGGGTTCCCTTGAAAAAGAAGTCTCTTTATTTTCTTCATTTTGTAGAACAAATTTTTGTATGGGAGAACATTTTTAATATATTCAAGTATCTTTGGCTTTCCTTTGGTATCACCTGGTCTGAATCAGATGCTAACTGTAGTTGTTCATTCCTTGTGTTCCTACCCTAGATTATTACCCCACCAGCACTTCCATTTTCATATTGCATGACAGTGGTATTGTAAATATTTTAATTGTAGTGTGTTACAACCCCTCCACCTCTACCTCCTTCCTATTTCTCTTATATAGATTTTTACATCAGTATTGACATCCCAGTTCTGAAAATCAGATCACCAGGTATCAGGTATGCCCACTAAGTCTTATTTGCCATCAAGTTTTTATTAGTAGTTCATCTTATATTCCATCTTTCCATTTCTAGATGGACATACACTGTAACTTTTTTAATATTTTACTTCTTTGGAGATCTTAACACCAGAGCAGTTTTTTCCCCTGATTATTCATCTGCAGACTCAGTTCTAGAATTCTGATTTAAAAAAGACACATTGAATATGATTAATTTAATCTCATTCCTCATTGCTTTTTGTCTCACTTGTCTTGCTCCCTTAGAAATTCCCATTTTCCTTTGGAGAGTTCAACTTGTACACAAAGGTGATATCTGTTTTTTATTTGTAAGAAAAGTTACTGAAAAAAGATTGTCTATGTCTAGAGGCAAAGGGAGCAAAAATGTTACCAAATAGAAGATGCCAAGTAGGGAGGAAATTAAAGGTCCCTTCAGCTGTGAAAATGCATATTAAGTACTTTACTCTAGGGATACTTTTCATTTACATATCTGTCTAAGTGAAGTTATAGATTCCAAAAGGCAGGTGGAAAATTGACTTCTAAAAATGGTTTATCCAATCCTTTTTTAAAAAGATTGTGAATTTTGTCTCATTTTCAAGTAGTTAGGCTGTTTTCCACAATTTTTGAATCATTTTCTGCTCACAGTTTATGATTTAATAAACTCTTTGATTTTTCAAGGGTTCATTATCTAGCCTGTTCTTTGCCCAAATTTTATGTCCACGTTGTTGTCTTACCTTGTACTATTTTACTGCTTATTAGCTTAACACCTCCTTTGGAACAGAAGAAAGGAAAAAGAAGAGACACCTGAGATTTTAGCAGTTTGTTAGCTCTTCTTTCCAAGGGTTTGGTAGAAGCTGAAACTATTCGCTAAAATGGATTTTCTAGACCTTCTGTTCTGTTCATGTGCTCTCGTCTTCCATTGCCATAAATCATTGAGGTTCTTTTCATACCGCTGACAGTGAGTGATTTTCTTCCAGTTTTTCCTTTTTTATTCTGAGGAGATGTTCCTTGGTTACTAGCAAACCAACACCAGCCATTTATTTCATTTTGAAGAATTGACATGGTAGAACAGAAAGAGGCCTGGACTCAGAAGACCTGAGTCAAAGACCTGAATTCAAATCTTGGCTCTGCCTATGCAACTTGGGACAAGTCACTTAAGGACTCTGGGCCTCAGTTTCCTAATGTAGATGATCTTTAAGGCCCATAGAACTCTAAATCTATAATCTTGTCATAAAGGAAATACCTTGTCTTAATCTTGCCTGAAAAATGTTTTCCAATTTCATTTTAGGTTCAAGATGGAGAGGATAGAAAAATGACAAACTTTAAAAACTATTTTAAGGGGGTGAGGGGCGCATCATGTCAATCCTGTGATATTTTTTATAATTTTGTTAGACGTTCCAGGCATATAGTATAACAGTTTGACAGTGAGTTTGCTCCTGTGGCCTAGTAATAAACATGACTTCACATTTAGATAATAAACAAAGTGCAGAAACTGAATTTCATTTTGTACATTTAGATAATAAACAAAGTGCAGAAACTGAATTTCATTTTGTGTGGGATATACTACATAAATTTTACCTATACTTTTCCTTCCTTCTCTATACCATGCTCAAAAATGCATGTTATTAATGGTTTTGATATGGTAAATAAACTATTCTTTGAAAGTAAATTCCCATTTTTGGAAGTGAGTTATTAATGCAGTACTGTGAAATTAATACATTATTAAGTAAATCAGTGAATACTTCTTAAATGCCTATTTGCTCACTATTAACAGTGTTTCATTTCCATACCATCCGACATGTAGGCTTCTACAGCATTATTTATCTTCAGATTGTTCTTTGGTGATAGGGAATGAGATTAGAAAGTGATTATTTTTAGTACTTTGCCATTTTAACAATCATGTACTTTGTATAATTGTTGTTGAGAAAAGGTACCTAGAGCAAAATACAAAATGACATGTGCTAGCCTTCCTTTTAGTCTAAAATGATGACAGAACTATGTGTAACTTGGTGCAACTTCGGTACTATCAATAAAATCACATGTTGTTATGAGACATTTTTCTTAACCTATGAAACTAAGTATTCACCTAAAATTGTAAAAATTTCCCAAAGAATCCTTTCTCAGTCAGTAGTTAAAGATTTAAAAGTATGTATGGACCATCTAGAATTGTTACGTTTTCTCTTTTGTAATTGAAAAAAATACTAACCATTTATAATACTTTTGTATTTTTAAGGCCTCCTATGTGCCAGACCCTGTGCTAAGTGCTTTACAATATTATCTCATAGTATCCCATAAAGAGCTGTCTGCTGGAATGTGGTTTTGCATCATAATTTTATTTCAATAAGTATTTGATTATATCTAATATCTGAAGTGGATACAGTAAAATTACTGTGGAACTAAATGATAGGTGCATTCTTATAAATATAGAACCCATTTCTGGCACTTAGATAAATAACTCTCCTGTGGGTGAAAGGGTTCAGTGAAGGGAGTGACTTGGAATATTGTGTTTTTTAGAGATGTTGAGAGTGTTTTCTCTTTATAATCTTAAGCTCTGATTCTTAGCCCTACAAATGGAGAGTTAAGTAAACCTTTTAAGAGGTGTTCTCTTAAAAAGTCTGAGGCTGGGGCTAGGAACAGGAAATATTCTTTGTTTGCAACATAAAAGCCGGGATAGTTCTCTGTAGGGAAACTCCTGAGCAGACATCATCCCAAGTTTGAAGTGAAGGCGCATTAGCTGCTTTGACATTACTGTGCCTGGCTATTTTTAAAGAAGTGTTTAAAAAATATTGAAGTTGTAATTTCCAGAGCATTTCTCCCATGTACATCTGCCCTAAGGATTTTTTTTTAATTAAAAATACCATAGTAAGGAAAAGAATTTATCCTTATTTAAGTAGCGTTTAGTATTAGTAGTGTTACTGTTATGTTACAACTTAACAATTTTGAACATATCTCATTCCCTTCAGCAGCTGATCCTGTCCCCTTTGATACCACCTCCTCTTCCCCCCACACTTCCAAAAGGCCTGTTATCCTTACTGTTTCTTAGCCAGTACACAAAAGAAGGTGTACTTTGATGGGTCCTGAAATTATCATTTCCCTTGCTAACTTTTTGACTGGGAATTGAAAAGTGAAGCCATGGTGGAAAAAATAACAGCTGTTGTTTTTGTAGTGAACAGAACACTGGTCTTTGAGTTGGCCATCCAGTGCTGAAGTATTGGTCCTGGTGCTTGTTAACTGTGATGCTGAGCAAGTCGCTTAACTCTCTGAGCCTGGTTTCCTCATCTATAAAATGGAGATATTTTCTAATACCTACCTGAGAAGATTATTTCAAAAAAGTTAACTTTAAGCTGGTTGTTAAACTCTTACTAATATTATCAGTGAATATGAGTATATTTATTACATATGTCTGGCAAGAATCATACTCATCAACAAAACTGTTAAGAGGTATTTTTCATATATATACACATATGCACTATATATAGTCTGTGTGTATATGTGTGTATAGTTCTGTCATGAAAAGATCACTAGACTTCTAGTTCTAACCCCTGCTCCACTAATTTCTAGTTGGCCGATCTCTGTACACCTCAGTTTCCTCCTCTGTTAAATGCATATAAAAATAGTTTACCTACCTCACCAGGTAGTTTTTTAGAATCAGATGAAGATTATGTAAAGCACAAGAGCTATATAAGGTGGTATTATATACATATGTATATGTCATGCATGTATATAACTATATAGAAATGTGTAGATAAAGGCATAAGGGTAAGTCAGTAACTTAAAAGAATTTAAGCATATCTTCAAAATACTTTATTACAGAAACATGAACAAAAATGTTGTCAACTTTACCTTGCCGAAACTCAATGTTGTGTGGCCAGACGTAGTGATAAGAGTATGTAGTAATGTGCACATTAAAGGTGAATGATGTCTATGAAAAATGCAATTCACCATAGTTTTATTGATGATCCCTCATTGGCTTGCTCAAGGGTAAAGAGGACTGGACTAGGAATTAGAACTCCTAGGTTCTGTTTCCAGTTCAGATGTCTGTTAGCTGTGTAACCTCTAAAAAGTCGTATGATGTCTTGGAGCCTGAGTTTCCTCATTTCTTAAGAGTGATGATGTCATAGCCTATCTCACAAAATGTTGTGGAGATGTGAAATGAGGGGATGTAAATGAAAATACTTTGTATGCCATAAAACAATATAAAGATGTATAGTTCAGATTCCTGGCATCCCTTTATTATCCAGTGCTGCCCTAAGCTTTCCAGCCTCCTTTCCTGCTATTCCTCCTACATCATAGATGGTTTGGTTAAACTAGACTTCTTTCCCCACCAAAAAAAATATGCTTTGCTTTACTGTAGTTGTGGCTTTGTTCAGACTGGTTCCCTATTCTTGGTGTGTCCTCATTCTCTCTTTCCTTACCTTTTGACTTCCTATATTTTAAAGTCCAGTTTAGATGCCATCTTCTCCATGAACTGTATTAGGAGGTCGATTAGGTAGGTAAAATGGACATAACATTTCTGGGAGGTGAGGGATGAGGAGTATCCTGATTAAATTCAGTAGACCGGGGTGGGGGGAAAAGGTGAACCCTGCCCTACCTTACTAAAGGTTGGTTTGATAGCACCAATAAGATCATTCGTATTGGGCTTTAGAATACATTCTCTAGTTTTTGTTCTTGAAACAACAGATTTATTTTACTTTTCTTATGTTTAATATTAAAATGTTATTTTATATAACCTGAGATGTTGACAGCATGGAGGGTGTGAGCAGGTAGGGTGAGAAAAGGGAAACAGTTCAGTGTTAGAAAATTTTCATGGATAATTACAAACTAAGTTATTCACATATGGATAATTAAGAGTTAACTATATTCTTGCTAGCATATGAAAAAAACCCTAAAATCAATGGAAATTTGTAATGAAAATTAAGTATGAAAGTATGCAAACATAAATTAGAAATTTATGTACTAGTTATATGCGTATGTAGTTAAAATAGAGTGAAATGCTACATTCTTTTTCTTTTTTTTTTAATTTTTTTTTTTTAGTTCTCATCTCTGTTAAGCTTTTTGGCAATTATTCTTTAATCATTTGGACCTAAATTACTTTAACTTCAAAAGATAAGTGGCTTCTTGGCTATGGATACTCTCCTCATTCCAGATAGTTTCATGAGTTGCTGTGGCCAAAATAGTTAATTTCCTACTGAGGAACTTCAGACAGCATAGTCCATCACCAGCTAGTACACAGCATTTTAACTTCTAAGAACCTTCATTCTACTAACTTTTCAAAAATTTTAGGATCTTGTTTGTGTAAAACTTGGACATATAGAATCATTTCAATCATGTGAGATTTTCATTATGATGAAATCATGTCATATAATCATTTTTCAATCTATCAAAAATTTAATGTGTAGCTATGTGAAAGTGTGCTAAGCTGGAAATCCAAAGACAGTTAAAATTTCCTCCTGGCTCTCATGGCCTGACTGATGCTGATGGATTTGGGGCTCCTCAGAAGACTGGGGAGTTCTTTGTCTGGGAAAGAAGTTGCCCCAAGTGGTACAGTCACTGGGGAAAGTAGAGAGTAAGGGCTGATACCCCAGGGCCTGCAGCAGCAGCTCTGGCAACTGTGTGGAAGGTCACTGTTTGTGGTCTCCCACTGTTAGGTAGAGCTGTATGTTAGGGATGCTGTACAGCATCAAGCCTCAATTTGCGTAGTGGCAGCTTTGGCTCATTTCACTCATTCTTAAGGGTCAGACAGAACAGCTCTAATTCCTCGTCTCCCTGACAACTCTTCATAGTTTTTTAAGACATTCTTGTGTGTTTCTGCCTACTCCTTCCCTCCCCCCGCCCCCATTCCCAAATATACTCTAGGCCTCAGCTGGTGATATTCATATGACATGATTTCAAGGTACTCAACTATCCTGGATGCTCTTTTCCAGAATCTTTTGTTTATCTATTTCCTTTTTAAAATGTGGTGCCCAGAGCTGTTGTGTTAGAAATATCACCAGAACTGGTTCTGGTCACTTTTCTTCTCTTAATTCAGACTCATTAAGTTTTTGGCTACTATATTACATTTCTCACTCATTGAGATTGTAGCCTACTAAAACTGCCCAGACTTTTTCAGACAAATTGCTGTCTAGCCATGCCTCTCTCATTTTGCTTTTAAGCTGATTTTTTAACCTAGTTTTAAGACTTTACGTTTATCCCTATGAAATTTTGTCATCTTCTATTCATCTCATGTTCTAGTCTGTCAAGATCTTTTCAAATACTACCATCCAGTTTGCTGGTTTTAGGTCATCTGCAGATCTAATAAACCTACCGTCTATTTCATCATCCAGGTCGTTGATTTAACAAATAAATAAATGCTTCAAGGCCAAGTATAGATCCTTGGAAAATGCTAAAGATCACCTTCTAAGTTGACAGTAATCCATTAATGATTGTTCTTTGCATCTGGCACTTCAGTCATTTGTAAGTCTACCTAAATGTATTATGGTCTATCTAGCCAACACACTTCCATCTTTTCCACAACAATAGCTTTTCTAAAATGTAGGTAACTATGCCTACAGCATCATACTAATTTAATCAGTCTGATAACTTGTCAAAAACAAAAAACAAAGTGAGGTTGATCTAACATGGCCTTTTTAAATCCACATCGATATGGAGAGTTGGAGGCAGCCACACAGAATAAGATCCCATAGAACTGGACAAAATAGCCGGCTTCTTAGATACCTACTTTATTTGCAGTATTCCTACTAGAGACTACCTCCTGACAGCAGCTTAAATAAGCAGTAAGTGGGGTAGAGATTTTTCTAGATAGCATCATCCTTGACCCTTGCTAGAGGACCCTGAGTCCATAAAAAACACTTGCTCACAGGCAGTAACTTTCTTTGCATGGATTCTGTATTCAGAAATTTGGGGGTCTACCCATCATTTGTTAGATTATTCCTCTTTGTGGCTTTCATGTACACGTGCTTGTAATCAGTCAATAGCATTTGCTAGGTACATTGGTAATATAAAAACAAAATTAAACAATCTCCTGTAAGTTGTTTATTTCATAATTTCAAATGTGTGTTATCCTTAGAGATAAGGGCATTGTGGAATTGGTCATTTAAGCAAGAAAGTTACTAATTATCTGATGTTTCAATACAAATGTTTCAGTATGTTTATAAAATATGTTCTTATTTGTTTAATACAACCAAAGCTCATTTTACTGTAAGGAAGGGTGTAACAAGGCAGAATGGTAAAGATAAGGTAGTACTCATCAGACTCTGAAGAACAGATTGAAGTTTCAGCTTGCTAGCAGAATAACCTTGGGCAAGTCAATAAACTCTTTGTTTAAGTCTCGATTTCCTCTTGTTTTTTCATCTTTAAAGTGGGGACAATATTGTCAGCAAAGGATGGTTGTAAGAAAAGTGCTACAAAACTTGTTATGAATTTGAGTTTAACGTAAGAATCATTCTGAAGAGTTGAAAAATATGATACAAAAGTTGGTATTAAAATTTTTAATAATGTTATTTAGCTAATGACTTCCCAATTTTAACCTTGAAGAACTTAATGAGCTCTTAAGGAGGAATTATACACTGTAGTACTGTCATACCATATGAGTTACTTTTTTTCCATTTAAAGATTGAGAACCTAGATCCACGAGGAATTCAGCTGTCAGCTTTGTTCATGAGTGGTGTGGATATGGCGCTCTTTGCAAATGACGCATGTGGACAGCCAATTCCTTGGGAGCACTGCTGTCCTTGGATGTATTTTGATGGAAAACTCTTCCAAACCAAACTCATCAAAGCAAGCCGGGAGAAAATTCCACTCATTGACCTCTGTGATGGTCAGGTAGGTGACCAGAAATGAACATGATAAAGAATTGTGAGACTCTAGTTTTTATGTGAATAGGATTGTGTTTGCTTTCATTTGTGCAAATAAATAATTCTTACTGTATCTCTAATCCACATTGTATGCTTCATCTGAAATGTGGCTCTTAAGAACAGAGACTGTGTTTCCCACAGAGCTGAGTGCACAGTAAATGTGGAATAACTACTTGTTAGTTTTGAGGATGACCTGAGTCAAGCCTTCCTTAGCTGAATGGCGTATGTCTGTTTTAGCAGTTGATGAATCCAAATTTGATACACATTTATGGGAAAATAGCTAAATTTTTGAGATTGCTATAACTGAGAGTTAGAGAAATAAAGCAACGCTTAGTAGACATCTAAGTGAGTCAGCATACCGGGAAGGATAGAGGGCCTTCCTGCCTACCTGGTGTCAAAGGAACCTAAGTGCAAGTCCTACCTCTGAACCCTGAACTATGTGTGTGACCTGGGCATCTCACTTAACCTGGCAGTGCCCAAGTACTGCAAAAAACTATATTGCAGACCTGTGGGTGTTTTTTTTGGCATTGGTAAAGTACTTTTTTCACCAGTCCAGACCCTCTTTCTATTCTCTACCCAGTCATTCCCACCCCATTCCACCTACCCATTCTGTTCCATCCCTGAGAAGAAGTAATGGTGGGGGGAGATCAATCTAGAGGAAGTAGTAGTTATGTTAGCATCACAGGGGATGAACTGTTAATGATTTACATTTTTATTAAAGCTAATACATAAATTTTAAAACACATTTTAAGTAATGTTTTTATTTTCTTCTGTAGAAGAAGTCTTGTTATGCATTTACATGTATATTTTTATTGATTTACTAACTTCGGAAGGTTTTTTTTTTAAGAGAAAAAATCTATAGAGACCAGAAATTCCAGTTTCTTTAATTTTTTCCAATGCAAATAACAAACAAACCAGTTGAGAAAAATAATAATTTTACTCAAGTTGGAGGATCAGTCAATAAATAATCAGTCATTAAGCATACACTGTGTTAGGGATATAAAATCAAAAATTGTACAAATTAAATTCACAAAAATCTTTAGCATTTCTATGTTACGATAGCAGCAACCAAGAGGAAATGAAAGGGAAATCCCCTTCAATATAATAACTCTTGTAATCAAGTCTTTGCAGTACTCTGTGTTCTGCTTTCCTCATTTATAAATGGTGATTGTTATTTTGTTAAATATTTAATAGTATTAATGTAAAGGTAAAAAAGAGGCAATGAATACATGTGGATTGAAAGGAAGATTACTGATCTATTCATTTAGTGTCCATATCTGTGCACTCTGTGTATCACTCTGGGCTTGGCATATTTCCAAGAAGAGGGGTGGAAGTTGTTGTGCTATATCTACAGCTCAGTTGCTCTTAATCACTAAGGATTTTTTTAAAGATATATACAGATTGTCTCTTTTTTTGGTTCACCAATATTTCTGGTCTGAAGATGCTTAATAACCTTTGAACATATTAATAAGAATTCAGGGGGCAGCTAAATGGCGTAATGGATAGAGCACTGGCCCTGAAGTCAGGAGGACCTGAGTTCAAATACAGCCTCAGACCAAATACTGACTAGCTGTATATTAATTTATAATAGTTTAAATTGTTGGCAAAAATTTTAAAACATCTTATACATTTGATTTCTAGGCTGAGCAGGCTGCCAAGGTAGAAAAGATGCGCCAAAGCATCCTGGAAGGATTAAATTTCTCCCGGCAGAATCATCCACTCCCTTTTCCACCTCCTCCTGCTCTGCCTTTCTATCCAACTTCAATGTATCCTCGACACTTTGGGCCAGTCCCACCACCTCAGGGCAGGGGTAGAGGTTTTGCTGGTAAGTACATGTGAGAGGCAGAAGTTTTTTAATCACTCAAATGAATTTTCTTTTACTTTTATGTCTTTTATTGTGGCTAATAATACATTCACATAAATGGCTAAAGTAGAATATGGGCTGTGTTTCTAATGCTGTTCAAGTCGTCCACACGAAACACAATATTTAGAACTCATCATTGTTAGTATCACCTGTGAATTCTGCAGTGAGGGTGGGCAGTGGAGGGGGCGCCAACAAATTACATACTTTTTTTTTTACATTTAACTTTCTCTTTTTCTTTTCTTTCTTTCTTTTTTTTTGGGGGGGGGGCTAGGCAATGGGGTTAAGTGACTTGCCCAGGGTCACACAGCTAGTAAGTGTTATGTGTCTGAGGTTGGATTTGAACTCAAGTCCTTCTGAATTCAGGGCCAGTGTTCTATCCACTGCGCCACCTAGCTGCCGCAAATTACATACATTTTTAAAGGTGCATTTATCTATGCCAAAAGACTGGGAAGAAAATCAGGATCAAGAAACACTAATTTAGGAACTGTTCACATTTGTGAATGTGACTAAAACCAAGACAGACACTGTCTCTTTATATCTGTAAATGTACTCCTTCATGGTTATGTTAGAAATATGTAACATACCAAAGCAAAAGGGAACCTACTCCCTTCTCTAGTTCCAATCATTAGAACCTTCCGGAAACCAGCCTTTGCCTGAAGCTAGTATTAACACATAACTCTGGATCAACTCCCTGGAGGGAGTCCTGGGGAAGTGATATGCCCATGTTTTGCCAGTTTTAACCAAAATTCTAAGGGTAGTGAGGTGCTCAACAAAAGTGAGGTTGTTTAACAAGATAACTCGCTCCTCAATCAACTTTCAGTGTAAGCTTTTCGATTTATTAAAGTCATATTTAAATAAGGCGGTCACCACAACTTAGAACCAAGCACCGAGGTAACTCTTCCTTCCTGGTGAATCCCCTGTCTCTCTCTGCCCTGGGTCTAACAGGAGTCTATGGCTTTGGAGGCCCTTATGGGGAAACAGTAGCGACAGGTGCTTACCGTGCCTTCCGGGTGACAGCCACAGCAGGACACTCCGCAGCCTTCTCTGGCAGTGACAGCAGCAGGACTAGCAAGTTACAGGGCGGTAATTATACCTACACCTTTTCTAGAGCTTCTGCCAACAGCTTCTGCGCCATGGTCTGATGGTCCCCTACTGACGGCCAGTTTTCTTCTTCCTGAACTGCCTACTAACTGCTGCCCTCTTCTGCAGAGCATTTTTCCCTCTAGGTCCCTGTGATGGCATTTACTAACTGCTAGCCTCAGCTAGAATCTTTCTTCAGGCCTTAGTAACCTCTTAATACATGCTGTGTCCTCCTGTGAGTTTTTCAGATAGGTTTAACTATCTTAACTAATTGATATTCATGATAGGAAGAACTCCTAAAAAAAATTGTCATTGTTTTGAGTATAATGGTGTCTCCCAGTAGAAGATAGTAAAATTTGGTAGATTTTAATGCCATAGCAGAAGTGCTGGCATGAAGTTTTTGTACATTAATTATAATCTGTTTTTCAGGAATACTTCAGATAAAGATGATTAATTTGAAAGGGCTGATGAATTTTGCCTAAAATGGAATTTATGGCACATATTTAACATTGGTCATTGAGTCCACAGTACAGGATAAGCTAGTTCTGTACTTTTACGTGGCTGATGTACTTTTATTATTTGCCAAGATCATCTTATCAACTCAGTCTACTCAATATGCTTATACATCAAGGCAGGATGTATTTTTTTTTAATAGCGATAAGGTAGCAAAGATAAATTATCTAAAAATGATCAGCCCCGAGTTATTTGCTAGCTTATGGGATTGCTCCTCCCTTCCCCCTTCCATTCCTGTCTGCCTTCACTACCACTGTCTTCTCCCATCCAGGCCTTTACCAGGATGGTTTCCTTCACAGCTTTCCTTTCCTTCCATTGTGCTGCCTCACTAATTTCTCTATTTGATTCTCTGCAAAGCTGCCTCTGCTCCTTGACTTAACAAGTGTTCCTCTGTGATACTGTTTATATCCCCAGCGTAATCCTGGAGCTAGCTAATGGTTGCGATGAATTTCAGGGGGGTTGGGGAGGCAGGGGAAGTATTAGGATAGAGCATGTTGGAATATAAATCAGTTTTTCACCTCTTCGTTAATGGCTGGTAACAACCTAACCAAGACAAGGGACTATATGATATTATGTGAGGGCTCTTGAATCCCACTTGCTCTGAGAATTCCATTCTACTTTTGGCTCTGACAGGAAGGAACTCATTATATCCACTGATATTCACGTAATCACAAGTTGACTCATAAATAAATTTCTCAGTTTTTCAGACACAATTCTTTTTTTGTCTCTGTAGGCTCTTGGATGGGTTATAGAACGTTGTACCTTACGTAATATATCAGTAGTTAATCTAAGTTAATTAAAATGCTGAATACTTGTGACCCTTCTTAAGCTTGTTGATACCAGGCATTAAAATTTGACAAACAGTAAGAAATAAAATTGAATAGGTTTTAAGCAACACAGAATTACAGGGAAAAGAAAGAGGATGTTTTCTTTATCTAACAAAAAAGTTGCTTAGCTTTTTAAATTTATAGCTAAGCTCTATTAAAAGGTGTCCCAAAGTAGCACACTCTACTGAATCTATTCCTATCTATGAAAGTAGTAAGGTCAAATGAGATAATATATTAAGACACATGCTAAATTGTTTAAGGAAAGATAGCTGTTTCTTACATGGCCTAAGGTACATTTTAGGCCTAGCATGCATTCCATCTTTTTGAGTAGCCTTTTTGGCTTTTTGAGTACCTGGAAGTACCATAACAATAAAGGTTTTTACAATTTGTTTTACAAGAGCAGCAGATCCAGTGCTTACACTAAGCTGGAAATAATTGGGATAATTAAGCTAATTTTTTTAAAGAGTAACAAAATGCTCTTTTGCAGTAAAAAAGGGTAGACATTGATATTCCACACAATAATAATGAAGTCTATCAACTAGAACAGGGAGTCTTCATATAGAACAAAGTTGGGGAAAGAATTACATGCTTCCATTAACCACTTTTAATTCTGTGGTTGTAAAGATTTTTTTTTCTTTTTTGTGCAGGAGTCCAACCTATTCCTTCTCAGGGAGGGAAATTAGAAATAGCTGGCACTGTTGTTGGTCATTGGGCTGGAAGCAGACGAGGACGAGGTGGACGAGGGCCTTTCCCTCTACAAGTAGTTTCTGTGGGAGGACCAGCGAGAGGGTAAGTTCAGTACGAGGGACTTGTTCTTTGGATTGAAGACATTTTTAAATTTTGTTTTTCAAACATAATTTTTAAAAAACAAATACTTAGCTAACTTAAACAGTTCAAAATTAGTTGAAACTTCCTCATTTCATGCTTTCTGATTCAGAGAGCAAATGATTCAGTGGAGTAAATGACTCTCAATAAAGGTCTTATTCTATGTGACATTTTATTGATCTTTCAATTTTACGTATACTTTCAGTTGCCAAATATTGTCATATCTACATATACAGCATCTCTTGCATCTGATGCATTCTCTCTGTTCACTTGGCCATCACTCTAGGTCAGAACCTAACCTCTTGCCTGGACTATTATCATTGGTCTCTGTGCCTTAGGTCTGTACACTTTTCCTCCACACAGTTGCCAAAGTTATCCTAAAGTTTAGGTCTGACCATGTCACACTCCTTTATTCAATAAATCTCCAGTGGCTCAAATACAAACTTCTCACTTTGTCAGAGTTATTCACAAGCTAGTCTTGTCCTTCTTGCCCTTTCTTCCATACAACCTTCCATTTCCCATCTTGTGCCTTTGCACAGACACAGGCTGCACACCCTGCCTAGCACTACCTCCACCATCCACAAAAAGTTTCCCCTCTTCTTCTCTTCTCCTCCTGCCTCCAACAGAACTCCCTCCCCAAATCACATAGTATCCATTTTGTGTCTTTTATGAAGGAGGATGTAGTGAGTGGAAAGCTGGCCTTGCTACACTGACTACATAGGCTTACCTGCTTGGGTTACTTAGCCTCTCTCAGGACAATTTCTCTAAGACTATATAAGTCACAGAAAAGGTGTGAAGCTTCATTGATAGGTCTTCTTACAGAATGTCCTATAGTAACTGAGCAAAATTTATAAGAATAAGCCATTCCCCAATTGATTAAATGGTCAAAGTAGACGAATAGGCAGTTTTCAGAGGAAAAAAATCCAAGCTTTCAATAGCTATATGAAGATGCTCTTAATCACTAATAACTGGTCCAGCCATTCTGGAGAACAATTTGGAACTGTGCCTAAAGGGCTATAAAAATGTTCATACCCTTTGACCTAGCAGTGCCACTACTAGGCCTGTACCCGAAAGAGGTCAAAGAAAATCCCAGGAAAAGGACCCATATATACAAAAATATTTATAGCAGCTCTTTTCTCTAATGTCACAGAATTGGTAACTGAGAGGATGCCCGTCAGTTAGGGAATAACTGAATAAGTTGTGGTATATGAGCATGATAGAGCATTATTTTACTATAAGAAATGATGAAGGGGATGATTTCAGAAAAACCTGAGAGAACTTGTATGAACTGATGCAGAGTAAAGTAAGCAGAACCAGAAGAACACAGTAAACAGCAATATTGTAACATTAATCAACTGTGAAAGGCTTAGTGCCTCTTACAAGGCAGTGTGACCCCTCACGGTTCAAAAGGACTCAAGGTGAAATTGGTGTCCACCTCCAGATAGAGCACTGATGAACTTTTAAGAAATTGAAGTAAATTTTCTTCTCTTTTTCCTTATTTTTTTTTCTGGACGTGGCTAATGCAGGAATTTTTTTTTCATATCTGTGCATATTTGTGATAGATTTTGCTTTTCTTGCATTCTCAATAGGTTGGGACTAGGGAGGGAGAAATTTTAAAACTTTAAAATTAAATTTTTAAAAATTATCTGTAATAATAATGATGATAATAATATTAGACCTATGCCAGTGAAATCACCAATCTACTTTCAAACATCCCTATATTATCTGTATGCCTATTTATGTCAATATCATCTTGTCTGGTATATCTAAGCTTTTTGAGGGCAGAGATTGTTTTGGTTTTAGCTTGATATCCCTAGCATCCAGCACAGTGTCTATACAGGCTTAATAAATGCTTATTTTTAAAACTGACTGGTACTTCTCTTGCTTTTCTTTTAAATGAAGAAGATAGAAACAGGTTAAGATTGTTTCTAATGTTCTTATAGTTGATAAAGCATTTTAAGATAATTTTTGATTAAATGTAATATTTAAATGAAAATAATTCCTGTTAGGTTTGCCTTGTTTTTTAAAGTTCTTTTTACACATTTTATATTTCCTCAATGTTTTTGTATGAAATGAGTGTGTATTAAGTTACAAACAATGGTCTCTTGGTTTCTCTGTTTTTTAAAAAAAATTTGGTAATACAGGTTTAATAATACTTTAAACCTGGTTTGTGCCCATTGAATTAGCTTTCCAAGTATATATTTCAAGAATTGTCTATGAAAGATTTAAATAAGTTTTATTTTTGTTTTATACCTTAGGCGTCCAAGAGGAGTTATTTCCACACCAGTGATTAGAACGTTTGGAAGAGGTGGAAGGTACTATGGAAGAGGTTATAAAAGCCAGGGAGCAATTCAGGTAATCAAAAATTATTTCCTTGTTTTACCCCAGATACCATTCTAAGTTGGTCCTCCAGTTTCCATGGTTTTTATTTTCTCTCCTGGTCTCTACAGGAAAAGGAATTTGGAATGATCTCTTTGCTAGCAAATCATTGACATTTCTGCTTATTAAAGATTAATAGGAATATTAGCATGTCGTTAAGGATAACAATTCTAAAGCACTCGTCACTAGTAGATTTAATGCAAGTGGTCCAGGTGATTTCAGGGACAAGTTTGTGTTAAGCATCTTTAATTAAAAACAAATAATTATCTGAGCATGTCCACCGTAGAATATTGTAGTTGTGTTTGATAATTTTTTTTGTCCACTGTAACACTTGAGAACAATGATAGCACTTAATTGAAATGTCCAACTTTTACATGCTATACTAATTATACACAAATAAACAATACCGTACTTATTAAAACTTTTGAAGAATAGCTCACTCTTATGATCTAAGTAGGAAATTCCTGTTCCAAGAAAACCCTCTATCTCAGAGGTTATCCTTCCCCACACTCCATCCCTCGAAATATAGTTACACTTTGTTGTTGTTTTCCATTGACTTTGTAATAAAATCTTAGTCTTGGGGTATGGGGATTGAGGGGGAGATACTAAAAGCATTTGGGGATATGTGCAAAAGAAAATGATGTGAGTTAATGGTGAAATAAATAAGCAAGGAAACAAGCCAATACCAAAAAAAAAAAGAAGAAAAAGAATTGCTGTTTTCTTAACAGGAATCTCTATTTTGACCTGAAGAAAGTGGTCTTCATGGACAGTCCCAAGTGTTGAAAATGTAGCTCTCTTTATCTGGTAGTACAAAGGCCTAACCTACACTAGTAAGATCTGAATTGAGAAAGAAATGAAAATGATAAATAGAAATGGGAAATTATAGTTTTAGTGATGTCAGCCATTTGTGAATCTAATAATGGCACCCAAGGTTGGAAACTATTTGAACAAAGGGGGAATAAATTCTCTGACATGTCCAAGGATATATTATTCATAGTCTCTGATTGTTTTTACTTCTTACTGCTAACACTTTGGTTCATGTAGATGGACCCCAAATAAGAATATTTTCTGTGTTCCAAGTTTGAGGCATTGGCCTGTCAAGAAATAGGTGAATTTTTAGAGTATCTAGTTTATTGTTACCTCCATGGTGCCACACTCCACAGTTCCTTACTGACATACACCAGGACGTAAGACAATAACGTGGTTATGATGAAATGCATTGTAACAAAGTTTTGGGGTCTGTGACCTGTCAAGTCAGTCCAATTCCCATATAATACAATTCCAAAACTTTCATTCCATGAGATTACTATTTTGTAAATTAATTTTAATACTAAGTATAATATTAATTTTAGTAATTGATAAATTTTTGGAAGTATGCAAAGTATGACATTGAGGTTGTGCTTTAACTGTAAAATGTTATAGGATTTAAGAGAAGTTTAGCAGTGAAATAGTAAGAGAAGGGTTCACAGAAATGGGTTGGGCTTGATTTGGGCTTTGAATGATGGATAGAATTTGGCAAAATGGCAAGAAATAATTGATGTATGGAAAGAATTTCATTCTAGAATCAGGAGGATGGAAAGGATATCAGTTAGACATCAGTTAGTTCCAACCTCTTCTTTTATAGATGAAGGTGTTAAAGCCCAGCCTGGAAGTTACATGATTTCAACTCTAGATCACAGTATCAAAGCTGGGATACAAACCCAGGTCCTTTGATTCTAAATCTAGTGGTCTTTTCACTAAGTCACAACATGTTATTTTCCTAGACAGTGATGATACATCAGAGTGACGCCTAGGGAAACTGCCCTGAAAATTGTCATTAGTTCTCTCTAGTAGTTTACATTGTAGAAAATCAATACTGAGTATTTCATGACACAGAACAGCTATAGGCAAACTTTGTAATGAATTGGTTTATAGTGCTGGCTTTTCATATGAAAACTTTATTAAACAAATTTGTTTTAAGGAAAAAGCCCTCTAAGATGTATGGTTTCAAATTAGGGATATATGGGGGACAAGGTGGTGGTCAAAGAATGATGCATTATAGTTAATGAATGAATACATTTTCTCATCAGTGTATGTGCTAAGCTCCAGTGGTACAGTTCTGAACCCATGCACATTGTCACGTCCTGTGCCATTCTTGTCTATATCCTCCCATAAAGCTTTCAGAAAGAATCTTAACACACTGTGGCCTTCCTGTTGGAATTTTGTGAGGAGGTACTCTTTGCTTTTCCAAAGCTTTTAAGGATTGCTAAAGGGCATGGAGAAGTTATGTTGACAGTAAATTACATGAACAAAGCAGCAGGGTAGCGATGCCAGTGCTAGTTTCTTTCTAGTCCCCACTGAGAATCCCAACAATCTACAGAGAGGAGCACAGTGTCCATTTCAGGCATGTGCTGGTTGGAGATTTGTCCTAAAGTTATCAGTGACTTTGTTTAATGTAGTTCCCTTTTTCTAAATCAGTCTCTTGGTATCATTTTACAGTCCTCACAAATATATTCCTTCGGCTTCCTCTAATTCCATACTTCCTTTTTCCTTTTTCTCCTTATGCCTTTCTAATGCCCCCTTTCTGTCCCTTACTCATTCCTTCTCACTTCCATTTTCTAACCTCAGCACAACATTTGACATCTCCCAAAGTTCTGTTCTCATCTCTTCTTTCTTTCTACATTCATTCATTGTCTTGATCGTTGTCTTATTGAAGATGCCTCCCAGTCAGCCACTCTAGATTTCTGAGCCCTATAGATCTAGTGCCCATAGGAAATCTCCACTTGAATGCCTTGCCATTACCTCAAACTCAGCGTGTCGAAATCTGACCTCATCTTATTCCCACAGTAATTCTTCTGTCTCTCAATCTTCCCTTTTCTTCATAGAATTATAGAATGGATCTTGGAGATCATCTCGGTCAAAGATCTTAACCTTTTTGTGTCATGACCCCCTTGGGCAGTCTGGTGAAGAATAATGTCTTTAAATGCATAAAACAAAATGCAAAGGGTGAAAAAGGAAACCATTTCCACTGAAACACAATTATCAAAATGTTTTTTTAAAAAAACAAGAACCCCTGATCTAGTACGAGAAAGTGACTTATCTATACACAAAGAGTGTGTGTGTGTGTGTGTGTGTGTGTGTGTGTGTGTGTGTGTGTGTGTGTGTGAAGTCCAGTATTTAATGTATATTATAAAATGACCAGTCTCGGTTTTTATTATTCTAATCCAGAACTGGGCACTATTGTCTAGTGCTCGCTCATATGCTTTCACTTAGCCTCATGTGTTCACTTTTAAAAGGTTGCTTTTTGTTCCACTATAACTGTAGTAGCCAGGTGGCCCAGTGGATAGAGTGCTGAGCCTGGTGTCAGTTCAGATCCAGCCTCAGACATTTAATAGCATTGTGACCCTGGGCAAGTCAGTTAACCTCCTCCTCAGCTTCCTCATCTATAAAATGAGGATAAGAATAGCCCCTGCCTCCCAGGGTTGTTGTGAGGATCAAATGAGATAATGATTGTAAAGTGCTATAGTGCAGTGCCCAGCACAGAGTGAGTGCTGCATAAATGTTAGCTATTAATTATTCTCAAATTTAGCTCTTGCCTTTTTTGACTGATCGATTTAGGTCTATGAACAGTTTGTTAAAAATGCCTGTTAACAGTTTAGAATCTAAAAATCTGTTCATTCAGTATTTCCCTCTCATTCCAGTTTGTTATCAAGTCTTGTTAAAAAAAATTTTTTCCCCCTTCACAGTAAGAGTTTTTTGTATTTACCCTTTTTCTCCATTTCTCCTTTAATTAAGTCCTTCATCAGGACACGCCTTGGGTTACTGCCAATAGACTTCTAGCATATCTTCCTATCTCATTTCACTCTATCCAGTAAAGACTAATTTTCTTAAAAAAAGCTTTCCTGTCATGTCATGCTCCTTCTCCAGGACCTACAGTGGGACACTGTATTGCACATAATACCTAATCCAAATTCCTTCAAGGCTTTTTTTTTTATAATCCTATCCACCCAATCTTATTTTCCATTGATCAGTAATCACTTGTAAGGCCTATCTCTTCTCTGCCCGACACATATGCCATACTAATAACCATGGTTGCTTTGTCATTTTATTTATGTTATTACCCTTCCTAGAAGCCCTGCTTTTACTTTTTTGTTTTGTTTTGTTTTTTGTTGAGGCAGTTGGGGTTAAGAGACTTGCCCAGAGTCACACAGCTAGTGAGTGTTATGTGTCTGAGGCTGGATTTGAACTCAGGTCCTCTTGACTCCAGAGCCAGTGTGCTCTATGCACTGCACCAACTAGCTGCCCCTTCCCTTTATCTATTCAAATGTCATTTAATCTTTAAGGCACAGGTTACATTCTGCTTCCTCCATGAATGTTAACAGCTGCTCTGGTTTATACTGCTCTCCCTTTTCTGAAGTCAAATTGCATTTGATGAACTGAAATATTCACACTAAGAAACATATAAAGCTGAACCTAGTGGCCTGACCCTCACAGAGAATTATTTTTTCTTTTGGTCCAATCTGAAAAACCCAAAGGACGACAGATTAAAGTGCCCCTGTGTGCATGGTAAGGCAAAGCCTTTTAGAGAGCCCAGATTTCATCCAGAGAGCTGTGGTTCAGCTAGAATTCCTTCTTAAAAAAACCCAACAAAAGGAACCTTGGAAATAACAGTAATAGCAGTGAATTCCAGTGTTTCTCAAGGGTATCAGCAACAATTTTTTTTTGAAGGAAAGGTAGAAAAAATTGTTGCTGCAGAGGTAAAATCACTGAGAATATTTAAGAGCTGTATTAGACCATTACAAAATGAATTTTGAATGCAAAAAGCAGTTACATAACTTTTTTGTTTTTTATTTAATATTTTATTTTCTTCAATCACAAGTAAAAACAATTTTTAACATTTGTTTTTTTAAATTTTGAGTTCCAAATTCTCTCCCTCCCTCTTATTGAGAAGGCAAGCAGTTTGATATAGGTTGAGACTCCATCAGTTCTTTTTCTGGAGATAGTTAGCATTTGCCATCATAAGTCCTTCAGAATTGTCTTGGCTCATGCAGTGGCATAACTCTTGAGCTGAATTAGTTTCTAACTTGGTTAAAATGTAACTTCATTACTTTTGTTTGTCCAGGATAGCTACCTCAAAGGTAGTATGTGACGTAAGTGAGGAGGATACATGTAAGATGCCATTTTAATCTTGAACCACCAGTGTGCTGTTTTCTGGTGTAGTGATCAACAGACAGAATTCAATGCTGTTATTTTTATGTTGCCAATGACCTTTCAAATTTTAAAAACACAGTGAAGACAGTGGTGATGTTCTCATCTCATCAACACCTTCACGTACATTGACTGATTTGATCTTGGTAGGGAAACAAGGTAGTTATTACCATCCCATTTTACTCACGAGGAAGCTGAGACTCAGAATGAGATCTGGTCCAAGGTCAGTAAGGCCTCTTGTCTGATTCCATGTCTAGCACTGCTGACCATACCTCTGCCTCAGCTCTCTGCTAGAAGCACTAGTGCTGAACTTTGTCTTCTTACTGAACCTTTTAGGAGAATACACTATTCAGTCATTCCTGCCACAGCCCTTTCTTAAGGAAATGCATTTAAATTAATAATAAATTAATGGGTCAGCCTTTCTGACCTGTTGGGTACCTCTTGACCTCTGACCTCATGAGGAAAGAGCTGCAGTTCCCATCCTGTACCACATCATCCTGCTTTTCTTCCCATGTCCTCTTGTCAGCTCATTTGGTTCAAGTAGCAGTGCCTCTTATCACCTGGAATGCAGCATGTAGAATTAACAAAATTTATTAGCAGCTAGGGTCCCTTGGTAATACTGTAACATTAATACAAACCATAACATTAACACAATGGAAGGAAAAATCTGTAAATAAAGAGAGGTGATGTGGCTGCACCCTGAGAGGGGGAAAGCATCAGTGGCTTGTGTGAATAAGAACAGAAAAACATGTGAGGAGGAGACAAAGCACAAAATTTTTCCTTTTCACCATATCCTTTGCCCCAGAGAGCACAATCAGTGTCTTCAGGTTTCTAATTTCCTTTCAGTTCTTCCAAGAATGTACCTCACCTAGCAAGGCACAAGTAATTTCACCATGACTTTCCCTTCTTTTGGCCCTTGAAAACTTCTTCTCCAGTAGCCTTTCTAAAGTAGTTATTGGTAATTACCACATAATTTAACACTGAATTATCATTGGCTTTGTATTTTTTCTTTCATGTGACTTTAGTTTGGTCACTCAGACTAGATCATAAGCTCCTTAGGGCAGGAACTGTGCATTCTCCTTCCTTTGTAAGTAGTGCAACAAAGTCTAGTGCAACACCCAATAATTTCACTTGTGGGTTGTGTCATCATCTCAAAGAACCTGACATTGTCATTGTTTTCAGAGGAAACTAGATTTAATTGGGGGGGGGGGGAAGGAACAGGGCAGAGAGAGAGGAAGCCTCTTATGAGGTAATTCTTGACAATCCCCAGTCAGCTCTTTTTCTTTAACTGTTCCTTGTTGTTCTTTTTGTGGTTTTTTGTTAGTTTGTTTTTTCAGCCAAAACCAAGGTTTATTAAAGATCCTCCATTTTAGCTGGACTCTTAAGGAATCTGAGCACCTGTGAGCTCTTGGCTAGATTGTAAAAATCTGAGCAGTGGGTAGATTATAACAATCAGAGCCTGTCCCTTGTTTTTGTGCAAACATTTTCCATCCCAAGGCTACAAGAAAACACTTATTGTCTGTTTCTAAGTTCTCGTTTATTTGTCTGACTGGACTAAAGGGTAAGATAATAGAATGGAAAAAAGATTTTTAGAGAAATCAAGATCTGAGAAGAAATTTTCTCTCTCTCTCTAAGTTTGTAAAGAGTCATTTTTCAGTTGGTAATGACCAACAGGTCCCCATCATCTCCATTTATGAGAGAACATGAAGTGGGACTTATGTTTCAAGATAATTATTGGAAGGCACTGATCACAGAATCTCACATGTGGAACAGAAAATCACAGAATTTAGAGTTGAAAAGGGCCATAGTAACCAAATAATCTAACCCACACCCAAATGGAAATCCCCAGTAAAATAGGCTTGACAAGATGTTGCTGATGTTTTGCTTGACATAGAAGTGAGGGGAGCCAAATCCCTCCTGAGAGAGCCCATTCTAATTTTGGACGCCTGATTATTGTTCCTCCGGGAACATGGATTCAAGCACAATGCTTTTCATCACTCTGGTTGGCCTCCTGGATGATCTGAAACTGCAGAACTCTTCATCTGAATCTTAAACTATAGACAGGACTTTCAGACGTTTGATCAGGAGAGAATATGGAGAGACTGGCCCCTAATTCCAATTTTCTTGGAAGCCCAAGATCCCTTTAGTGTTTGTTTTCTTCATTATTATTATTCCTCTCCACAACATCTCACTTTTGCTCAAAGTGCTCATCTAGCCTGTGCTTGGTAACTTATGAGGGTGGGGGGAATCCACTCTCTTCTGAGTTGCCCATTCTATGTTAGGACTTTTCTAATGGGAAGGAAGTTTCCTTACATATAGAGAGAAAATGTACCTTTCTGAAACTTTTCCCTATTGCTTCCAGTTCTTCCCTTCAACATCAAGCAGAATGAGTCAGATCTCTTTCATATGATGTCCTCTCAGATATTTGATGACAACTGTTTCAACACCCCATACATACACAGTCACGCCTTTTTTTTTTTCCCCCTCCAGGCTAAACATTCCCGTTTCCTTCAAATGATCATTATATACCCTGGTTTCTGGTCCTCTTCATATCGGTTACTCTTTTCTGGTCATAATCCAGTTTGTCAATATCCTTCTTAAAATGTGGTACTCACAACTGGGAACAGTTGTGTTCTAGACCTTTATAGTCCACTAAGCCTCCCTCTTTCTTCTCCCCCCACTTCCCATCATTGTCACAACTCTAGATTGATAAAGGGCTAGTTTTGGGAGTCAAAGTCTCACCTATGACACTATCCCTATAACTTGGGCAAGTCACCTGATTTCATTGAGTCTCCCTTTCCTCATCTGTAAAATAAGTACAATGCTGATAGTACCTAACCCACAAGCATTGTTAATGGTACAGTAGAGGCAGAGCACCCACCATTGCCAGTTTACCTTGGGCAAGTCACTTAATTTCCCTATGCCTTTATTTCCTCATCTGTAAAACGAGGAGGTTGGACTGGATGTCCTAAACTAGAATTCTGTGATGTGAAGAATCTTAATTGAGGTTCTCAGTTACAGTTGTTTTTAGCTGAGGTTCAGTTTTTTTCTCTTAAATTTAATTTGGTTAAATTTAGTCTGTCATTCTAACCCGTCATGATCCAAGACTCTGTCTCTTACCCATCTTGTTAGCTATTACTCTCAACTGCATCCTTTGCAACTTGGTACTCATGCCATCTTGTGCCTTCATATAATTCAATAATAAAAATGTCAGACAACTCGGGTCCAAGGGTAGATGCCTGGAGCATTCTCCTAGAGACTTCTTTCCCAGCTGGACATTAGGCCATTAATGGCTTTTCTCTGGTTCTAGTCATTCAACCAGTTCCAAATCCCCCTTAGTATACCATCATCTTGTCCACAAGGCTATTCTGAGAGATTTTGTCCTTTGTGATAGTGCACATGTTGGGCTAGTGGAAGGAGTCATGAGCTAGAAGGCAGGAGTCTCAGTTCCTTCACCAGTAAGTGACAATCTTAGTTTTCTCCTCTGTAAAATGAGTGGGGCTGTGCAATGTCTTGTGCTGTTTTTTCACTCTGTAATTTTGTGCCTCTTAGATAATTATACAGTAGCTCCAGGTGATTCTTGGTTACAGATCTAGAGGGAGTTTTTAGTCTTTATGGAGAAGCAGAATCAAAATTGTGTACTTCATTTTAAGATAAATCCTTTTAAGACATCTTGGAAGGGTGTTAAGCTATAGAAAACATATAACCAAGTCAATCTGTCATCTTTTTCCTTATGTCATTGCAGTTCTCTTGAATGTCACAGTTTCTTGCAGTATCTTACTGATTCCATCATGAAGAAATAAGACTTATTTTTTCATCACAACGTAGAAATTCATATTTTAACATTTGGGTCCAAGGATAGCATGAATATATCACTTAGAAAATATATCTTTTCTGGGGCAGCTAGATGGTGCAGTATATACAGCAGCAGCCCCGGAGTCAGGAGGACCCAAGTTCAAATCTGACCTCAGACACTTGACACTTACTAGCTGTGTGATCCTGGGCAAGTCACTTAACCCTATTGCTTAGCTAAAAAAGAAATTATGTCTTTTTACCTTAAGGAAGTTTAATATGAACATTTGGATTTGCAAAATGGATATGATTCAATTTACATATAACTTGTCTGTAACCCAGTTGTTGGGGGAAGGGAGGGAAACCAGTGCTTCTTCTGCATAGAAACATTTATACTTATCTCATACCTGCTCCGGTACAACCCCAAAATTTGTTCTCTGTCTGAGGCATACATTATTCACTCACTTAACAAACCTTTGCAAGGCCTGCTGTGAATAAGGTGCTTATCTAAGACTTCGGCAGAATTCTTTCAGTGGAGATTGCCTTTTTGCCAATATTGACAACATCGAATGAGTTCGAAGAGGAGAGGGAACTTAAAACTGGAAGATGTCAAAACTGGTGGTCCCTGGAAAGCAACCCTAAGGGAGAGTGAGACATCCTGGAGACTGTGATGGGAGGCAGAGGTAATAGGAAAATGAAGTGAGACACAGCTTTTTTGGGAATACTGCTGGGTACCTCCCATATACATGGAGGTGAATCTGTTGTCTGTTTGTTCAAGTATCATTTGACAAGAGCTAGTGTCCCTTCTTCACCAGCATACATCTGGAACTTTTCTTACTTCTCATTTTCTCTTGTGTTAAACAGGGTAAACCTCCTTATGCTGCTTCAGCAGAAGAAGTGGCCAAAGAACTTAAGTCAAAATCAGAGGAATCTAAATCCTCAGTCGTGTCTTCAGATGGATCCCTGGCTGAAAATGGAGTAGTGAATGAGGAGAAACCAGCTTCCCAGATGAATGGGAATACAGCAGATGGCAGGGCTTCCAACCAGTCTGAAAGTGCCTTGAGTAATGACTCTAAAATGTGCAATACAAATCCTCACTTAAATGCACTAAATGCAGACAGTGTTTGCCATAAAGATGATACTCTTGAGGCAGCTGTCTTAAAAAAAGAAGAGTAAACTTATTTTTTATAGAGGGTGAAGGATGTTGGAATGGTAAGGATTAGGAATATCTGGAAAGAAAGAGAGCCTACAGTTATGTACATTTTTTCCTTTCCGTAAGAGAAAAATGAGGACTTTGGAAATTCGGATCCCTCTTTGATGTCAGAGATTTAAACAACACATTTTTAGTTTTAACCAGTTGTAGTCAAAATGCTACAATAAAACACACAAAAAAAAGAAAGAAAATGAAGAGCATTTGACTCCCGCACTTAAAATGAAGTATACATAAAGTTTAAACTGGTTATGACAAAAGCTTGTAGTTTTGTTTCTTGAAATATAAAGAAAACAAATTTTGGCAGTCTTTAAGTATATATAGCTTAAAATATAATTTTTAGTATTTGGCACCATATGTATGCCATTATATTTGATTTTGCATTACTGTGTCACAATAAAAGCTTTCTTTAAGGCTTTAATTTCATGATTATGAAAAAAATAAGGCACAACCACAGTTTTTCTTTATTAAAATTTCATCACTGTTGATGTGGTTCTTTTGTGTTAAAAATGTGCAACTATCGAAACTAAAAATTATAGAGTAATCTTGCAGTTCTGCTGATTTTCACTCTACAGTACGTCATACATACTTTACAAGCAAGTTCAATGGAGATAAACTTGAAATCATAGAAGATGCAAATGACCTTTCAAAATCAACACAATGTGTTCTGAAACTTTTTGTGACTAATACCATGCATCCGTGATCAATGAACTATGTGGTTTTGAATCGGACGTAGACCATTAGTACTACTATTTGAGCTAAACTTCTGCATGGTTCATAATTTTTAAAGTGTGTAGTTAATATTATGCATGTTATTGTCCTTTCTTCCATTCTTACAAGTACTGTGCCCATTTGCAAAACAAAAAAGCTAATAATCAGTAATAGTCCTATAAAAGATGTTAACTATGTTTAGTCATTGACTGATCTTGCTCTAACCTTAAAATTTTGTGATTATTGACCTCTGTTGCATTTATTCTAAAACTTAAAAAAATTATCTAGCCGTTTTGAATATCAACGTTACCCTGGTGTACTCATTGCTGTATGCATTATTGTTCTCTGTTGCTGTTTTTTGCCTTCATATTAGCAAATATGAAATTCTGTGAAAAACAAAAAAAAAGCTTTGATCTTCAAAAACTACCCCCCTTCTGTAGCAGGAAACAAATTGCTTGTTCTTGAGAACTTTCCCATCAAGAATTTAGTATAAGCAAATATACCTGTATCATTTTGATGTTTTTGTTAGTGTTTCCAAACTTAATGTACTTCGAAATCAGAATCATTTCTTTATATTCGTTTTCATATAATTCTCCTGATGCTCTTCATCACACATTAGTGATCAGAAATGAGGTGTAATTCCCCATTCCCTGCCCGCAAGAGCTAAGTAGGTATCTTAATGTAAGTTGAAGGGAGTTCTGCCCTAACTCATGGATTGTGCAAGAATGAACTACTGTTGGGTTTGATTGACTGTAGATGGATTGTGGTGTGGTGTATTTGAAGGCTATTGAATGCAACTTACAATGCTTAATAAAAATCTTTATTCTTTTAGTATAAACTATCGTATGCCTTTTTAATCCGTTTTTTAAAGACTATTAGCCAGGTATTTACACACATTTCAGCAAAGTCAGTGTCACAGATTTAGTAGTTACTTAAGAGCTTTGGTAAAGTAAATTTTTTCCTTCTAGATATTTAATAGCAATTCAGGACTTAAAACCCTAGATGAGGGATTATTAACCATGTGGCAGGCAGTGAAGAAGTATACAGACATAACTGGCTTTTGAGCATTTCATCACTAAACTTAATGGAAGCAGAGAACCAGAACTACGTGTGCCATCTTGTAACCGGACTTAGGAATGAAAGGACAGACACATTGGGAAGTGAGTTATGAACAGAAGTTATTTTAGCCCCCTAATTTGAATTTTGTAATTCTCACTATACCACAGATTTTAATTTCCAATAGTACTGAAGGCTGCTTCTTTATTTCCTTCATAGAAATTGTACAGTTCTAGACATATGCTAGAACTACAGTATTTACTCTAGGGTCTAGGAATTAAGGATTGTGCATTGCATTCTTCATTACATTGAAAGATGCATTATATATCATTGTGTACACAGGATATGCAAATCAGACTTAAATGTAACCAGATCACCATGGTGCTTCGTGATGAAATTTTACTTATTCAGTTGTTGTTAATCCATAAATACATGTATAGTGTGAGAAATCATACTCCTTTCTCCTAGGGCTTTGATTCTCTCATCCTTGCCACTGCTTCTAATAGCCAGAACTCAGGAGCTCCTGAGAGGCAACATTGATGTAATAAATGAAGGCCAGCCTCAGAGACAGAATGACCTATGCCCCACCTGTAGCACATATTGGATATCCCAGAGCAAGTGAGGTAAATGGAGGGAAAATTTGAGTGATAGAAAAACAAAAGATCAAAAAAAATTATTTAAAGTAAAAAATATAGACTGCCAAGAAGGAATACTTAATTTCTAACTCTAAGTGGTAGATTTAGCCTTAGAATTATCAAAGAAAGAGAATAGCAGCTATGATCACCTGTAGCTTCATAATAATAGCATTTACATAGCAAATTAAAGTTTACAAATTTTCTTACTTTTGTATAATACGTTAATCAAGCATTTATTTAGCAGCTATCAAGTGATGGCCGCTGTGCTAAGCATGGTGTATATAAATAAAAATATTGAAACAATTCCCTAATTACAAGGAATTTGCAACATGTGCCTACTTATCTACTGTGCTAAGTACTTTATAGATATCTCATTTTATCTTCACAACCACCCTAGGAGGTAGGTGCTATTGTTGTTCAGTCATGTCCAACTCTGTGACCCCATTTGTGGCTTTCTTGGCAGAGATGCTGGAGTGGTTTGCCCTTTGCTTCTCTGGGTCATTTTACAGATGAGAAAACTGGGGCAAACAGGGTTAAGGGACTTGCCTATTGTCACATAGCTAGTAAGTGTATGAAGTTAGATTTGAACTCAGGAAGATGAGTCTTCCAAGTGATTCCAAGCCTAGCACTCTATTCACTGTGCCACCTAGTTGCCTATTAGGCGCTATTATCATCTCCATTTTATAGATGAGAAAAGTGAGGCAGACAGTTTAAATGACTTGCCCAGGGTGATGTAGTAGGAAGTATCTCAGGCCAGATTTGAGCTCAGGTCCAAAGGCTTAGCTGGCCTGTCATGAACATTCAGCTAATTGGAACCCAGAATAGCTCACAGACTTGAATAAAAGCTTATGTAGCAATGTGAACAGCAAGATGTAGGACTAGACATTTTCTTTGATGCCCATGACCTCTCAAGCCTCTCCAAAGCAGAAATGATGCACTAAAGATAAAGCCAACTTCAGCTGTTTCTATGGTCTAATCCAAAAGATTTTTTTTAAAAAGTAAACTTAATATTGGCCCTCAGCTCACTCAGGACCACCGCACTCTGTTCCCCACCTCCCATGCTGCTTTCTGTGGTGCTATACTAGCAGACCCAAAGACCTGCTGCAGGCTTTTCACAAAACCCAGTCCCTTGCTTTGGTTCCGCCTCCCATTTTCCAGTGCTGCAGAGACTCCAGTTCCAGACTGGAACTTTATTCCACAACAGCCAGTGGCAGAGGAGCAAAAGTGTGTTGGCCACAACACCCAGTATTTCAGCAAACGACCCCCCAGTGTCACTGCTATAAAACTGGCCTGCTGTTGTCAGAATAAGTAACCCAGCAGCACTTGCACTGCGGAGCTCTGAATTGCTGCTGCTGCTGCTGCTAGCCGAGAAACTGAGAAACAGGGAGAAAGTCCGAAGGGGGGGAGTGTGGGGGTCAGCACTCCTCAGCATCCCGCTGGGGCCATTTCTGTTCACCCAAAGACGGCGTCTAGAGACACTCAGAAGAATACAAGATAAAAAACTTGACACCATAATGCAAGAAACAACAGAACTGCTCAGAGCTTCTGAACACATGAAATGAAATAACGTTTAAAAAATTCATAGGTCGCCTCCGGGAAAAAATCCAACGTTACAAACTTAAGACACATAGTGGCTAAATTTAATTCAGAAGCAAAAAAGTTCTTCAATCAGGAGAAAGACTGAAAAATAAAAGAAAGGAAATCTGAATAAGAAGACTATTATTCTGCACCCATCAGAAAATGCAGGAGTGAGTTCTGAGAGCAATGGAGCTCAAGATGCTTCTCAGAGTAACTTATCCTGCAAAGTCTATGCTTCACTATAAATGAAAAAAGCTGCATGTTCCATTTTGAACAAGGGTATTTGAAGCATTTTTAGAAAGGAAAACAGAACTGAAGAGATTTTTTTGCTTCTCAGACACCCCAGAAAACAAAAATTTAGGAAGAATAAATAAATGTAGTTTCCAAAGACAGCAGTGGCAACAGAGTGACCAGATAGAGACTTCTTTGTAAATGTACACAAGAACACATGTGAAGGCAGGAGCCCAGTGGAGGTCACAATGAAGAGGTAGGCCTGGGGCATTATGGACAGAACTTGGTGAATTGAGGCTTTTTAAGGGACTATAATACAACATGGAAAGTATATGTGGAAGGAGGGAGGGAGCAGGGAGAAAGAGGAATGTGTGATGTGCCTAGGTCAAAAAAGGGCTTAGAATCTGCAGGAAAGTGGGTCAGGAGTGGGGGGAAGACTGAAAAAGGGAGAAAGGAAAAAGGCCTTGCTTTGGTAGTGGGAGAGGGTTCTGCTAATGCTCCCATTACTGAAAAGAGATATTCTATGAAGGGAGCTGGGAACCTTGCACTGGGTGTAATTCGGGGAATTTGGTTCTGATAAAGTCCACTCATCATACCTTGGGAGGAGGGGAATTGGAACTCCTGGGGGCAACTAGAGCATTCCTGGGAGAATGTGGGCCCAGGGAGGAGATTTTAAGACAAATGGGGTGGGAGGAGGTAACTGGGAGAGGGTATATATCAGTGGGGGGCTGCATAATCATGGAGATGGAGGGCTGTCCTGGGGCTCTGTGCTGTCTGACACCTGCAAAAATTGGCATTGTTCTGTGAGGCACAATAGAAAAGGGGAATCCTTTTGTATTCCCTTTTTATGTTGCCTAGAGAGGAGAGCCTAGAATAGATACCTTAGAAGTTTTGCATGAGGAATAGAAATTAGAAAATTTAGATATTTATAGCGATCTTGAACCAGAGAATTAAGGTCTAAAGTTGGCAGAGAGGATAGATAATGAAAAATCCTTTGTGAAAAGGGGGGAAAAGATGAAATTTAAAAATCTAATAAACAAAACTAGTTGAAGGAGAGGAGTAAAGGAGGGAATATTTGCCTAAGAGAAGGGGGATGGAGGGGGGTGTGTAACCAGATAAAAGTAGGAGAGAAAAGGCACTAATAAGCAAAAATAAGGGAAAGGGATAGATAATGAATGAGAAAACAGGATCAAGGATGAGGTGAAGGGAGCCTGTGAGACTGGAGCCAACTTAAAAATAGATTAAGATAAAATAATTGGAGCATAGGTACTATATTTCAACATGAGAGGGAGGAAAAGGTCATAACTTGGGAGGAAAAAAAATTATTAAAGACAGATGGAGGAAAATACAAATCTTAACTCATAACTTCAAATCTGAATGGATTAAACAGTCCCATAAAATGAAGAAGTGACAGATTGGATAAGGAAACAGAACCCTGCTATCTGTTATTCACAAAATAAAACTGAGGGAATGGAAAAAAAATTTGCTAAATATCAAATGAATCCAAAAAAGCAGGACTTGTAATCATTCTATCTGACAAAACAAAAACAAACATTCAAAAAATGAAAAGGAACAAACAATTGTGAGAAATGCTGAATTATTAGGTTCCCACATAAGTTGTTAAAAAAACAAACAAACAAGAAAGGTGATGAATGGCTAACTAATTAAGGGGAGAGTGACATTCCTCAGGCCAGTTAAGACCACAGGGTTCCTGTCTTTACAGCCCAAGGCCCAAACTAGTCCAAGCTGGTTGGGGGTCAATGTTCCCGCACAAGAATCTGCTACTACTCTGGCTCAATGAACCTCATGCATGTATGCTAACTAAAGGATCAGAAGTTTCCACCAATTATAACTTGGACTGAGGTTTCTCTAATTAGACCATGGAATTGTGAACCTAACCAATTGTGAAACTTTTGATTGTAACTCAGACCAATCAGAGTCTTGGAGGGAGGGGTAAGGGGACCAGACTAACAGTATAAAGCCCGCTCTGGCTTCTGTGCTCTGTGTGCTTCCTTCTTGGGAGGGAGTGCACCTGATTCTCGGAAGAATTGAATAAAGAAATTTCTTCCTTCACTCTAAAAACAGCTGTAGCCTGTTTTAAAAGGCTGTAAAAGAGCTGTATCCTGATATTTTGACTCTCGGCTGGCTTGCAACTGGGGAAGCAGTGGGCAATGGCAGCTTATCCCCTGCTAGCTCCCCAATCCCGGAGGTCCTTGAGAACACAAGGAAACTACATTATGCTGAAACAACCATAGGGGGAAAAAACAAAGCCTAATGTCATTATTAAACTTATATGCTCCATATACCTCAGCATCCAACTTCATAAAGAAACTATTAT